CCTAGCGACTCTGCGCATTTTTTAAGCGTAAGTACAAATGAAGCCACACCTTGTGCTGAATCCAACCATTAGTCCATCCGGGTCGGTACTGTCTATTCATACTGGCAGCCGCTCTCCAGGGTTTCAAGCAGAGGTCTTTCCCATCACTTCCTACCTGATCCTTTACCCCCCCCCAGCCATTTCCTTCTTCCAGGCATCCACCAGTCCCACCCCACTCAGCCTATGTCCTCCAACAAAACCCCAGGGCACTCATGAGAGACCCCCCCCAACCTCTCTGCAGGGCTGTTGCTCTGAAGGGGGTCTGCACTAGGAACACCGTGAGCCCCCTTCTCTTTGGTCCCCCCCCCCCTTTTTTAAAGAAAGGGCAACCTTTATGATGCTTCCCTCCCCCAACGACAGGGCTTTGTTCCCTCCGGAGGGCTTCACTGTACAGATAATCTTCCTCCCTCCATCTCCCTCCTTGCAAGACCCAGCTTTGGGTGACACTCTTCTGCTGAAAATGCAAGCGCAGCCCGTGCAGTTGCGAAGCACAGACCCTCAAAGGGCTTTTCATATCTGTGGCTGGAAGAGCTCAGAGGGTTGTTGGGGGGCTCTGTGACCCCAGTGGTGGATTCCCTCCCAGTCTCTGGGCTGCAGGCGTCCTGCCCTTACATCACCTCACAGAGAGTGTTCTTTCATTTGAAGCAGACTTTGGCCCAAAAACACCCACAGGGACTTCCTAGTCTCCTTCCTAGTCCTCCAGGAGGGAATAAGGAGAGACTGCTGCTTATGGGAAAGATCCCCCTGCCCCACACCCCCACACTTGGGAGGGGAGGTGCAAGAGGGGAGCCTGCTGGCCGCGACTCTGGCCTGACTGAGACTCTGGCCTGGCTGAGGGGAGGGCAGCCTGGCTGCCTCCGTGAGTGGTGGCAGTGAGCCCCCCTCCCACCCTGAGCTGTGAGGAGCCCCCCTCCCTGGGCTGGCAGCAGAGCCCAGGCAGAGACGGCAGAAGGAGGGCCCTGCGAGCCACTGCAACAGAGCTCCAACAGGGGTGGATGGCAACTGGCAGGCAGGGGAAGAAGGGGGGGCAGTGTGGTGCTCCGGAGGCCCCTGTGGAGGAGGGTTCCTATCCCCCCCCCCACGCGGGGAAGGGCTCTTGCCAGAGGAACGGCACAGACTCCCAAAGGAAACAGAGAAGAGTCAGGGCGAACAAAATGGGGTGAAGTCCAAGAGGCTGTGCTTGGAAGGGCCCCCCCGGAGAGAACCAGGCAGGCGGGCCCCAGAAGGCACTTTCACCTTGAGCAGAAGGGTGCTTGGCTGGTGCCCCGTCCCTCGGGGGGGGGGGGGGGGACAGAGGCACAGAGACCACTTATTTTGGACCATCTCCTTCCCTCTCAGAGGGTTAAAAACCAGATACCTGTAACATCTTCCAGTATCTCAAAAGAGCCTGCCAAAAAGAATGCCAGTTCTGTATTGGTTGGTTCACTTTTGGTTTCTCTTGTTCTCCTCGCCTCCCTTTTATCCGCACAACAACCCTGTGAGGTAGGCTAAACCAAGAGTGTGTGGCTGGCCCAAGGTCACCCAGCAAGCTTCCACGGGGAGAGTGGGGGGCTCGAACCTGGGTTCCCCAGATCCTGTTAATTCACTCTGGCCGCTACACCATCTCCCCCCCCCCCCAAGACTTCCATGGCTGTGCTGCATCAGACGTTCTCCTTGTTCAGAATTGCCAAGTCACCTCAGCCTCTGGGCCTTCCTGCTTTCTCAGCACATAAGGAGGAAATGACTGTTGTCTCAGGGGGTGGGATTCAAGGAAGGGAACACCCCCTCCGTGACACAATGGTGCCTGCCCCACAGTTCTCAGGTGGTCTCTCTTATGTGAGGGACATTGTTTTCTGCAACCTGGAAGCAAGTTTGGGCTTTCTGGAACCCTCTTCAGGACAAGTGCTGGAACATGTCCGCTTCCTGCCTCTGGCTCTGTTCTCTGGGCAGCTGGATTTGAACCCAGTAGCCCCTCAGAGACTGACCAGATTTTGGGGGAATGGGTTTTCCAAAGTCAAAGCTCTCTTTTTCAGCTCTCTTGAGCGTTTGCTCTCAAAAACAAGAATGTTAGTGACATTTGGACCTTCCTCAATTGGAGAGTTTCTGTCTGAGGAAATCTCCTTCCTTGGTGGCATCAACTGGCCACACACCCCACTTAGGAGACTAGTCAACTGCAAGTCCCTAATGGCATTTCCAGCACAGAAGGATCTACAAGAATAATTTTATTCCTCAGTTATTAAAATATCCCCCTCCTTTTCCTCATGCCTCAAGGCAGCTTGCAAATCACAACTGAAAATGTGGCTTTTGTGGCATCTCCTGAACATTTCTACAAATGGAACGCCCCTCACCCCCTCTGGGAGCCCCTTTCGCTGTGTGTGTGTGGGGGGGCTATAATGGAGAAGCCCCATGCTGTGGTTGATGCCAGGCAGGTGTTATGTAGTGGGTAGCCGCATGGATGGACGACAGACAACGACGTGGTGCATGGCACGCTTTATTAGGCACACAACAAGACATGCGGCCTAACGGCCGGCAGGCCAACTATATACACACCTGGGGACACACCCCTGGTCACCATTGGAGGGTTTGAATGTTTGAATCTCCCGCCATGGCTCCCATTGGTTCCCCCGTGGAGGGACTAGGATCCTAGTCCCCATTGTTGTCCAGGACTGAAGCTAGGGCATGGATGCTGACCTCCAGTGGCGGTCAGCGGACACAACACCCCTCCCCCCATAGTCCGGAACCTTCCCCTATGAAACATAGTCTTTAAGGTACGCTGGGGGCTGTCGTACCCTTGCGGATCGTCTGGGGCCCTGCGCAGGAGCCTCTGAGGTTCTGACCTCCGGAGCGGAAGTCGGAAGTGGCGCTGGGGCTTCTGCGGCTGCTGGTTCGGGCTCTGGTGAGCCCTCCTCTGCCGCCGGGGGCTGGCTGCTCTGGAGTGACTCCTCTGGGGCCGGCGTGGTTGGTTCCGAGGCCTCGTAAGCGTCCTCCTCTAACTCTGCTCGCTGCCTCGGTACCTCTGCCGTCTCGCGATCGGGGAGCAAACGCCGCCGAAGCTGGTCGATGTGCCGCCGGAGGACCTGACCACATTCCGTGGACACCTCGTACATGACGGTGCCCGTTGCCCGGATGATGCGGCCGTTGGATGCCGGGTGGAAGGGTGCCGTCCTGATATGCTGGATCAGGTTGCCGCTGAGGAATTGCTGGAACTTCTCGGAGGTAAATGCCGACCCGTTGTCCGAGACGATGGTGTCCGGCAGACCGTGGGTGGCGAAGATTCTCCGGAGGGCGCGGATGGTCGCCTTGGTGGATGTCACAGAGACGGGGCGGATCTCCAGCCATTTGGTGTAGGAATCCACCGTTACTAAGAACAACAGTCCATGAAATGGTCCGGCAAAGTCAATGTGGAGCCGTGACCATGGTGTGCGGGTGGATTCCCACGAGGAGGGTGGCGCCCCTGGCGGGCTGGGACGCTCGGCCTGGCAGGTCTGGCACCGCTTCACCCAAGCCTCTACCTCTGCATCGATGCCGGGCCACCAGACGTAGCTCCTGGCCAGTCCTTTCATCCGTACTATGCCCGGATGTGCCTCGTGAAGGGCCCGTAGGACCCCTTGGCGTAGAGCGCTGGGGACCACGACCCGGTCTCCCCATAATAGACAGCCCTTGTGAGCCGACAGTTCATCACGGTGGACCTTG